GGGGGGGGGTCTCGTTGGCCCACAGGTCTCCCAGCACAGTGGGTGTGGGGGCTCGGCGTCCCCGGGAGGATGGGGAGGAAGGTGTGGAGGTTGAGGTGGGGGGTATGGAGATTGAGGAGGAGGGTGTGGAGGTTAAGGAGGGAGAGGTAGTAGAGGGAGAAGGAGGAGGAGGAGGAGCAGGAGCTGGGGAGGCAGCAGGCACTGGAGTGGCACGAGGCAGCACGGTCTGCACCAGGGTTGGCAGATGGGCACAGATGGCATTACCCTGGGCAAGCAGCTCCCACCGGAAATCCCGGTTAGCCTGCACCCTGTGCTTTCGGTACCCCTGCAGTGTTCGGGTGGACCTGCTGAGCCCTTGGGTACAGAAGGATGTCCTAGGCGGGGTGGTGCGCCCTACACGCGCAGCTGGTGCGGCTGTGGAGAAAGAAGAGAAGTGGTCAGTTCTCCCTGGGGACACAGTGGGTGAAGCCCAGCCCCGTTTTGCGAGGTGAGGATCACCGTGCCCTGCACCATCAGAGCCACTGTGCTTGCACAGAGGCCATGGTTGGAATGTCCGGCTATCCCCAGGAGTGAGAGCTGCCCCGAGACTGCACCCAGGCCCATGTGCTGTGTATAGTGTGGCTGAAGTGGGGGGGGGGAGTTAGAGGGGACTTGTGAAGGGAGGGCATCCTGCTGTGCCCTGGGGTCAGGAGCATGTCAGGTCTCTTCACACACACGTGTGACTATCAGGCCATGGCCCCTGTGCGGCACACAGCTACATCCACCTGCCCAGGGGTGGCATGGCACATGCTCACACATGCACAGGTTGCTGCATGATACATGGTAAGCAAGGGCCACGTGCGCGGACCCTGGTCTCCCTCCCTGGACCCTCCCCCTGGGAAGGGGACAGTGACGTCACTTACATGGTGTGGCCTACCCAGACGATCCTGCTGACTCCTCTCCTGGGACTACTCGGGGGGTCCTGCTGGCGTGGCGGCTCCTCCTCCATGCCCTGCTCAAGGTCCTCCGGTCCCAGCTTGCTGCCCCCCGGGGTGGCATGGACCGCACCTCCCAACAGGATGCAGTCCAGGCTGCCAAAATAGGGGCAGCTGTCTGCCCCTGCTGCAGAGCTGCCCCAAGTGGCCCTGATGTATGCCTGCCGCAGCTCTTTAATCTTGAAGTGCACGAGCTCATGGGTGCGCCTGTGGCTTTTCTTGTGGTAGCTATGTGGCCATAGATGGCCGCATTCCTCCACCTAGTGTGGAGATCATGGACATTGGGGGCCTGCCCCCAAACCTCAATGAGGTCCATGATCTCCACAGTGCACCAGGCAGGTGCCCGCCTTTTCCGGCCCCTATGGTCTCACCCTCGTAGAATGAGGTTCAACTAATTTGAATTAAGCGCCCAGCTATTTCGATTTTATTTTGAAATAGCGGTTTGCCTGTATAGATGCTTTTGAAATTAATTTGAAATAAGGGCTGTTATTTTGAATTAACTTTGCTGTGTAGACATACCCTCTTAGATTAACAAAGTAGGATAAAAAGCTGTTTGTTAAACCTTAGAGAGAAATGGAATGCTTTTGTTTAATGAGTCATGCTAAGAACTGCTTCATAAATCTGGCTTGCAGGGTCCAAAAGGTAAAAAAGCTAGATTAGTTCTGCATAACTCATGTTTTCAGAGCACCCACAACATTTCTTATAGATATCCCTATATTTCATGCCACTCACATTTTGGCAGATTCCCCTGATTTGCCAGTTCACTGCCCTACTCAAAGTGTAGCTTTTACCCCTTTATCATTAGATTCTTGTGTGAGGGCCTGATGGTGACATAAACATACTGATCCAAATGAAAAACTTTCTTGTAAATCTTTTTCATCTGTAAAATCTTGACAAGAACAATGGACTACTGTGAGTTGTCCACTACAAGAATAGGGCATGCTGCTAGCTTGGATAAACAGAATAAAGATAATGGATAATGGATTGAATTAGTGAGAAGTGGAGTTAGCATATTATAAGGTAAGATACTACTGGTTTTCACTTAGAATCATAGAATACTAGGACTGGAAGAGACCTCGAAATGTCATCAAGTACAGTCTCCTGCCCTCATGGCAGGACCCAGTACTGTCTAGACCATCCCTGATAGACATGTATCTAACCTACTCTTAAATATCTCCAGAGATGGAGATTCCACAACCTCCCTAGGTAATTTATTCCAGTGTTTAACCACCGTGACAGTTAGGAACCTTTTCCTAATGTCCAACCTAAACCTCCCTTGCTGCCCATTGCTTCTTATTCTATCCTCAGAGGCCAGGAAGAACAATTTTTCTCCCTGCTCTTTGTGACACCCTTTTAGATACCTGAAAACCACTATTATGTCCCCCCTCAGTCTTCTCTTTTCCAAACTAAACAAACCCAATTCTTTCAGTCTTCCTTCATAGGTTATGTTCTTTAGACCTTTAATCATTCTACTTGCTCTTCTCTGGACCCTCTCCAATTACTCCACATCTTTCTTGAAATGTGGTGCCCAGAACTGGACACAATACTCCAACTGAGGCCTAATCAGCGCAGAGTAGAGTGGAAGAATGACTTCTCAAGTCTTGCTCACAACACTCCTGTTAATGCATCCCAGAATCATATTTGCTTTTTTTTGCAACAGCGTCACACTGTTGACTCATATTCAGCTTATGGTCCACTATAACCCCTAGATCCCTTTCTGCCATTTTCCTTCCTAGACAGTCGTTTCTCATTCTGTATGTGTGAAACTGATTGTTCCTTCCTAAGGGGAGCACTTTGCATTTGTCCTTATTAAACTTCATCCTGTTTACCTTAGACCATTTCTCC